TGGTTTTCTATCCTCAGCAAAACTGCAAAACATCCCAAGTTAGGCACACTTAGGCAAGCCCCTTTTTAAATTTCTTCAGAAATTTTCTAGTTTACATTTATAAGTCACCGATTATTTCTCTAATTTAATCTACTAGCTTCATAATTTACACATTATTCACTTGACTTTTAAAAGCTGACTGAATTCAGGTGGCAGTAAAAACACAATACTTAATCTATTTGTTGATGTTGGAGCTGAATACAGAGAGTCAGAGGCAGCAGGTTGAACAGAGTGTCTCAGGTAGGACAGAGTGTCTCAGGTAAGAGATGAGGGTGATGGGCAGGTGTGAAGGAAATATGTTATTCTGAGTACCTTCTAGTCGATTGTGTGAACTTAATGAAAAAATTTACTAATCTAAAGACATGATCTACAGCATGCTTAACAATTTATTTTATTTTGACCAGTATAAAAGTGATAGGCTTATCTAAATGTAACTTTTATTTGTAGGAAGTGGTAGAAATTGATTTTCCCAGTTAAATAAAGGTCAATAAATAAACCTATCAATCCATCCATCATTAGCTTTCTAATCAGTTCCAAACATCCACATATCGATCTTAGGAATAAATGTAAAAACCTCCTCTAAGCTTGTTTGGGATAATCTGTCACATTAATTTAATAATCTGAATTTTAACTGAATTTAAAAACAGGACGATGCAACTAGTTTAATGGAGAATCTGTCTCTAGTCATTAAATCAGGCATTTATTTATGTAGGTAAAAGTATCTTTAACAACNTCTAAAGACATAATCTACAGCATGCTTAACAATTTATTTTATTTTGACCAGTATAAAAGTGATAGGCTTATTTAAATGTAACTTTTATTTGTAGGAAGTGGTAGAAATTGATTTTCCCAGTTAAATAAAGGTCAATAAATAAACCTGTCAATCCATCCATCATTAGCTTTCTAATCAGTTCCAAACATCCACATATCGATCTTATGAATAAATGTAAAAACCTCCTCTAAGCTTGTCTGGGAAAATCTGTCACATTAACTTAATTATCTGAATTTTAACTGAATTTAAAAACAGGATGATGCAACTAGTTTAATGGAGAATCTGTCTCTAGTCATTAAATCAGGCATTTATTTATGTAGGTAAAAGTATCTTTAACAACCTGTTAAAATACATTAAATATCAGGAAATAGCTTCTAATTTATTCCAAATTTTCTGGGGGAGGACCCCCAGACCCCACCTCCAGTGTGTCCTTTACACACATTATAAGACTTGTGTGAGAGGATAAACCAACACACCTGTGCTCCACCTGTGTGTGTCTGTATGGAACTATGGCTGATTGTCAAACTGTGTTCTTAGTGACTTTAAAGTGCTGGTACAGTACACGGGTGAATGAAGGTGAACATAATTTCAGTCAATATGGTTYGAGTATTRTTGCATCCCAACAGAAACATTTGGTGTTCAGTTGTTGATGGGTGCAGACAGTTAAATTGAGCACAYACTGAAGACAWGAACAACAGAAAAACCTGGTCGCACAACTGWGGGTGCGTCAGACCCCCGTCCCCCACRGTGCGTCCCCACCAACTTTCAGCACAAAGTTACGCCMTTGCTTTCAGCTGTCSCCAATGTGCTCCTCAGGAYGGGAGACTGTGATGAAGTGATTCAACACAGTCTGCTGGCTTCTTTAGATTGATTGTTTTTTGTACAGTGCCCRGAGACGATGTTTGTTGTGACTTGGCACTAAACTGAATTGAACATAAATTCAACATTTYATGAAGRTAGAACACTGAAAAKTAGACTTTAACCTGAACTTTRTCTTAGATCAGAACTAACATGTCTAGTATCCTTATTTTGTTTACTGAAAACCGGTCTTGACTGCATCACATGACTTTTATCATGAAATATCCTCTGCACCATATAACCTCATGTAGTAACAAAGCAGGCTGAGAAGTAACATTCATAAAATTGAGTAACCAGTGATTATTTTACAGACTAAATCAACAACACCCTGATAAAATGTTTTAAAATATATTTTTTCGTCCCCTATTTGTAGCGCCCCCTAGATGGGCCTGCCTTAGCATTTACTTATACAGCCACGAGCTGGTCCCAGTTTGGTTATAAAAATGAAGTAACACTGTCTTTTACATAATAAAACAGTTTGACAGAACAGAACAATTCTGTTCTGTTGAAACAAGGGTTAACTCTTGTTTAAAGGACTGACGCAGTGTTCGATAAACTCTAACGAACATTTAATTGTTTTTACCTTCTAGTTTTCGGCGTACTTCGTGTATACACAAAAGTACAGTGTGGGATTTCAACATAAGCTTTAGAAAACACTGAGTGCCTTCCATAAACCAGTGCTCTCATTCTTGTACCCACTGGAACACAAACCCTCCTCAAAATGATGGTAAAGCATTTCTATCAGCAATTCTCAATCCACCAGTGGATGTGCCAGTTGCACACCATTCTTCTGCCTCCAGACAATTTGGATGGAGAAGAGAAATAATACAATTGGATAGTGTCAGACAGGGAGAAAGAAAAAAAAATAAATCAAGGATGGCAGCAAAAGGGATTTGTGACTCGAATCTTCGACAAATAGACAACTCTTTGTCGCTTTTTCTACCTACCTTCCTTTACTGAAGATAGTGCAACATGGCACCGATCCTGATTTCAAGTTCCTTTTACCAATTTATACTCTTCTCCCCTTGCCTGAATAAACCTGTCCCTTTGCTCTCTGTGTGTCTGATGACTTGGTAAGTGGTCTTGAAATTAATTTGGGCACCAGAGCTTTCATCCTTCCTGCTCTTTCCTCCCTCCTGCTGGGTTTTCCTGCTGTTTTGGAGTTTTAAACGGTTTGAAAGATTGCAGGCAGCTGCGGTTAAGCATGGGAGGCAGGAACCGAGGAGATTTAAACCAGACCCTTGTTCCGCYAACATTTCAGTGGTGCAGCCGTTTGACAAAAGATCCCAGATAACTTCAGATCTGAGCAAATCTTGAAGAAATGACTTGGAAAGTCCTGCTGACAGAAGATAAAATGTCTTTTATAAAACAGCTACATRTATGAAACCAATTTATTCTTCAAAAAACATTCAAGATAAACTAAAAAAAAACACGCAATTACTTATTGGTGTTAAATTTGTCCATCTGTTACCAAAATATTTCTTGAATCAATACATAAATATTATCAAAGCTTAAGAATTATGTGTATATCTATAACTAATTAACTCAGTCACCATAATTCAATATAGCTGCTACAGTTTAGCAAACTTATCAAACACCAAAATGTCTTTAACACAATCAAATTTACTGAAATGGAGCGAAAATTGATGTGGTATCCAAACAGTTAATATTACATTGTCCCATATACTGTAGATATACAATACCTCCCTGGCTAAAACCCATAAACATACTCAATGTTTTTTAAATTTTTTATGTTTCGTTAACCACTGTGATCTGAAATGCATTAGAAGAATGCTTTCATTTAATGGTTCACTTTCAGATTAGGTTAGTTGTGCATCCRCATACTGTTTTGCATTAACTATATATAAGCAGTTTTTCTGATTTTGATAAAACCTTAATTTTAAAATAAAGTTACAAAAGACAAAAAAGGCAATATTTAAAACTAAAAAAACACTAAAATAAGTAAATGTTAAAACTACGTATAACAC